GCATGGCAGAAGTACAGTACTTGGGTCACAGAGTAGGCTGTGGGAGCCAGAGACTGGAGCCAGCCAAGGTAGAGGCGGTGGCTAACTGGCCCACACCTATCACCAAGACCAAAGTGCTGGCCTTCTTGGGGACGGCAGGGTATTACCGACGTTTTGTCCCTGACTACAGTACGGTTGCTAAGCCCTTGACTGACCTGACTAAGAAGAATTTGCCTAAGCAGGTCCTGTGGTCTCCAGCTTGTGAAGCCGCGTTTCAAGCACTTAAGCAGGCTCTTGTGAATGCCCCTGTCCTGGCTGCCCCAGTCCCTAACAAACGTTTTCTTGTACATACAGATGCTTCCATGTATGGACTGGGGGCTGTGCTAAGCCAGGTCGGGGAAGATGGAGGAGAGCACCCTGTTGCATACTTAAGCAGAAAGTTACTACCCCGGGAAGTAAGTTATGCGGCAGTGGAGAAAGAGTGTTTAGCCCTGGTCTGGGCACTGAAGAAATTGAGCCCATATTTATACGGACAAGAATTCTCCCTTATTACGGACCATAACCCCCTTGTCTGGCTTAACCGGGTCTCAGGAGACAATGGCAGACTGCTGAGGTGGAGTTTGGCACTACAGCCTTACAACTTCACCATCAGCTACCGACCCGGTAAGCAGAATGGGAACGCGGATGGGTTGTCCCGGCAAACAGACGTCCCTACTTCTTCCCAGTCCGGTCATCCCCAAGTTGACCCGCCAAAGGGTCAAGCCGGGTCTGCCGGAGTGTTCCACAAGGGGGGAGCCGTGTGACAGACCCATCTGTCTGGATTATAAATGCTGTGTTCGCCTGTTTTGCCGGTTACATGAATTTCCCCATTCGTATGCTTTATTCAAGGGAATGTCGGTTTTTGTCGAACGGAACTACCGAACGGATGGCCACCCAGAAGAGAAGTGTGCTGCTGGTTAACCTATTGATCCCAATTAGAACGTTGCGGTTAACCACAGACACTTCTCAATTAAAACCGAATGCCGGGTGGTCGTCGTTCGTATGTCGACCACGAGGCGGCGGCCATTTTGTCCATGCGAACGACCAGCGGTGTTCAACGATTATTTCATGGATCGGAAAACGGACACTTTTTCAGCCGAACACCGCTGAAGCCGTCGACCTCCCCTTCTCAATCGACAAAAGCATACGAATGCCAGCCGTTCGGGAGATTCAACCACACGAATGGACTTAACCCAGATAGCCGTCCCATGGAGTCAATCGCATACCGACGAACTGAAAGAGACTTTGACTCCATGGCGATTGAACTGTGCGAATGGGATCTGAGCGCTATTCTTCCAATAATGTGCCCTCAGATCCAGGCTATCTGGGGATATGCAATACGAATGTAATATGTTCGGCAGTTATGAAGTTATGGATTTTCATGTGTTTTGTGACTTGTGTTTAAAATGGCGATTGCCTCTGCTCGGGGAGATAATTGAGTTACTTCCCAATTATCCCTCGAGCAGAGGGGAGGGAACTGTGATGCATGCTGGGAATATTGTGGGGATGTATGTCCAAAATGTCCCCATGTCCTTCTGTGATTTCAGTCTCCCATTTGGTCCCCTAGGGGAGTGTCCACCAAGTGGGAGACCTGCATAAATACCGGGCAGGTAGCCCACAGTAAATCAGTTCGTGTTTTACCCTCAAAGCGGAGCTTGGTCTCGTTATTGGGGGGATTTGGATACCAGCGGCGAGAGACTGCTTATTTGGATTATTTGCCGCTTGGGAGATATTGTCGTTCGGTTACTAATTGCCGTTCGTGGATTTGCAGCTCGTGAAGGGAATTAGCCGTACAGGTACCGTTCGGGAGTTTGGAGTGTTCCCTGGCTGGCGGTTCGCATGGTTTTATTATACCCGCTACCCGACCACATTATTGCGAACGGGGAATACTCGCTAAACGGCGGTTTGTACATTTCAGTACTGGAGGTACCGTAACAACTGGTGGCAAGCGACGGGATGATCCTCAACGCCCAAAGAGACCACTACAACCAGGACTAAATGGAATTACAATACCAAAACCTGAGGAGGGCTACCCTAAAGGATTTATTGGAGCAAAGAGGGGGACAAGCCAGTAACCTCAGGAAGAGGGATATTATTGCGTTATTGCTGGAAATGGATGGAGTACCAGCGGCAGAGGGAACCAATGGACCCAGCGCAGCTGACAGAACCCCCGAGGAGGCAAGCTTTGACCGGGCGGTAAGAATCAGGCTGGCACATTATGGTCCCAACCCGACTACAGAAACCATTGACCGGGTCATGGCAGCTGTGGAGGCCAACCTGCTTCGCCAAAGCGGTGCTGCAGCAGCCCCAGTCACAGCAAACCCGGGAGATAGGAAAAAGGTACCGTTTACTGCGTTTAAAGCCTTCAGTGAAACAGAAGGAGAGATTGATGGGTACCTTGCTGATTTCGAGCGGCAATGTGCCCTACACAAGGTACCCCTGGAAGAATGGGTTACTATATTGTCCGGCAAGTTATCAGGCCGGGCCAGCGAGGCTTTTCGGGCCATTCCTGATGAGGAGATTGGGGATTATGTGGCCGTCAGGGAAGCTTTACTCTCCCGGTATGCCGTTACACCTGAGGCGTACCGGAGGAGGTTCCGAGACACTGTCAAGACCTCTGGGGACTCATACGTGGAATGGGCATGTAAGGTGCATCGCACAGCCGCCCACTGGATGGCGGGGTGCCAGGCTGTGTCCGGAGAAGAGGTGCTGCAGATGTTTCTTTTGGAACATTGTTTCATAAATTGCCAGCCGGGGTCAGGGAGTGGGTAAGGGACCGTAAACCCTCCACTCTGCACGAAGCCGCTCGCCTGGCGGATGAGTATACTGACGCCCGCAAACTGGACAGTCTCATCAACAAGGCTCCCGCCAGAGTGGAGTACAGGCCAGCAGCCCCACCAGCAGCCAACCTATACCAGCCTCCAATGCATCGCCCAGCAGCACCTCCTCCATCTGCACCGTACCAACAGCCACCTCGGTTCAATTCACGGGAGTATGCCCAACCCATTCGGAGCTTGGTCTCGTTATTGGGGGGATTTGGATACCAGCGGCGAGAGACTGCTTATTTGGATTATTTGCCGCTTGGGAGATATTGTCGTTCGGTTACTAATTGCCGTTCGTGGATTTGCAGCTCGTGAAGGGAATTAGCCGTACAGGTACCGTTCGGGAGTTTGGAGTGTTCCCTGACTGGCAGTTCGCATGGTTTTATTATACCCGCTACCCGACCACATTATTGCGAACAGGGAATACTCGCTAAACGGCGGGTTGTACATTTCAGTACTGGAGGTACCGTAACAGTAAGAAAGAAATGCAAATATGCAAACAAAAGGATGCTAGAAAATTGGTTATGGTGTCTCCTTCTTACAATGTGCAGCATTATCATAACATCAACACTAGCTGTTGTTTTAAAACTGCATTGGGATTATGTTAACAAGCAGGAAGCACCTGAACTGAATTGGACTGCACACTGTACAAGTTCTGTGATCGTGAGGACTACCTCCAAGAACCATCCCAAAAGGAGAGACACAGCTCACAGTGAAATGATTGCTAATGTGACCTACACTGGTATTTCACAAGGAACCTATTGAGATCATTCCAAAAACCGATTATACATGAGAAAGATTTGATTGGACTATTGCAAATCCTAATAATGGACTCAATGATGATGGCAAAGCA